GACATTTTGAATCAAGTTAAGTAATGTCTAATCACGAAGTGTTGCTTTGGCAGTATGGATCCTAACAGTGGCCTGGCCCATTGAGTCTGTCTACTCATAAAACCACAGTCATTATGATTCATTTCATGGATAAAGAAGACAGTAAAAATGGGGACCTATAGCAATTGCTCTGTATGTATACTGTATACATTTCACTTTTGCACAAACTCAAACAAGATGTTATATGGTGCTTAGAGACTCTTTGGATACCAAAGAGTCTCACAAACACAAAAATACAACTCTCATGTATGCTTCTGTTTTCATAGTGTGTGTTCTCTTAAATGCCTTTTTCCAATTCTCTCCTCAGGCAGGACCATAGTGTTTAGGCTATATCCTCCTAAGCAACATGGCGCCCTCTAGAGGTCAAACAGAAGCCATTGCCAAAAACGACACACACACTCCTGTCTCCAGTGCTGCCCTCTCAGTGTGACTATTTTTGTCCTTTTGTCCATTTCTCTGTCAGCAAGCACTATAGAGAACAATGGAGAATAGAGAGGGGATCTAATCACACACACTCTTCCGCCTGTTGCATGTCTGTTGACTGGCCAGAAGACTGGTCAGTCCGGGACAGGACACAGAACTGCACAATCATTGACCCACTTTGAAGATTTACTGAACTCCACCGTTACAAAATAGTATCTTATTATAAACAATTAGGCCAATTCTGAACCGACACAAATTCAGATTTCTAAACACACGCCAACCATAATTACTTAATTTTTTTCATTTAATTGTGAACGTATTATTCTATTAAATTACTGATAATCTGCTAATGTATAAAATGTAATAAATAATGCCAAACGACCATCACAAGTTATTCAACCCCAACACTGTCAAATATGTCACACAACACACAAACTCACTTCAGTGTGACTAGCTATGGTGAAAAAAGGGTCTTTAGCTAACAAAATAACTCGTGTGACAACAACAATGATAAAATCCTCTACTTCGTTAGAGATGAATGTGTCGGATGCCCACGACAGTGCCTTGGATATAACTGCCTTCAGTTCCCCGCAGAGTTCACAAGAGCTGATTTTAGCCTGTGGAGTGTCTGGTTCATGAACTCAGCTGGAGACGTCGGAGCCAGCACCACCTGCTATTTTAGTCTGACAGCCTTTCTTATCTCCAGCAACAGGTGACCGTCCACAGCTGCCCTGGAGAGACTTTGCAGGGGGCTGAAATAGACAGCTGACAAAACAGGCTGCCATGGTAGAAAATCATCGGCCTGCAGTCAGTTAATTCATAAATATGCAACGCAATTCAAGACAATACGTTTCACTAACTTTACGTTAATAACCTTACAATGGAGTGGCATCATACTTGTCTAACGTTAGCAGAGCAAGGGAGTTAGCCACCCTGTTACCCTCGTAGCTATCCAGCTGTGTTCACTAGTCCATCACCATCATAAACAGAAACAAACACCAACAGTCAAAAAACACCGAAGAAAACCATTAAACAGCCGTGTTACCACAAATATGACATGAAAGTGGCCGTTTTAACGGAACTACGTTAAGGTAGGGCAACAGGTGACGTGACGCTAGCACGGTTGTTAGGTTAACTGGTTTTCTGTTTACTGGTTACCGCTAGCTAGTTAGCTAACATGTCAGATGTCAATTGACTAACAGTAAGAACGATAGAAAGCCTAAGCAACATTAGCCTAGCCATAAGACCTTAGTTTTTTAAATATTCATTTAGTTACGAGACTGGTTTAAGTCACCAAACAAACTTGGCGGTTTTATGTTAGTAAAGTTAAACTGTCACTAAAATGAACAGTCAATGTGACATGGTGTTGACTAGTTACATGTATACACTCGAGCAAACTAGCGTGAATCCTTTTTACGAATTCCTTTTAACTTGATGTTAAATGTTAGCTAGCTAGATCGATAGATACAGTTACCTGGTCTTGTATCTTCAACACAGCCATGTTCCCGGTGTAAAACCAAAAGGAGAGTAACTCGCCCGGGAGTTACTGTAAATTAACCGGGGGTGGGAGGGGGGCAGACTCTCCGGAGCGGAGTCAAACGGCGTTGCTTCCCCTTCTTCCTTCCTTCCTGCCATGAACGAACTCACACATCATGGGATAGAAATGACAAAACGGTGAAGTTTGGGAAAAAAGCACACAACAATCAACAACTGCACTCAGCGTAATCCCTAGCTAACACCGACAGCTCACACGCTCTGACGCGCTGAAGGGACAGTCCATTCCATAGCAATAATGATAAGCCCTTTAGTTCCCAAAATTTTCATTGACATTTAACTTATAGACCTGTAATGCTTTTTAATTGACTTAAGATGAGTCCGTCCGCCCGTCATTTCATCATAATTTTATTTCCCCATGACACACAGCGAGATTGTTTTTAAAAGAATTCCACAGACTTAACTTAAAAATATCTCACTGGACACACATTTCAACACCATATATTCATAACAGTTATCTTAAATTTTGTGCCATTTGTGCTGTTTCCTGTAAATATTCATTTTATTACTTTTATGGAAAAGTGAAATACAAAAGAGGAACGTTCCCAGTGCGACAGATACATTTTCTGCTTTTATAAAACAATGACAAAGGTTTGTCATACAGGTCCAGAAAGTTTCAAATACTGAGTATACACTGGGATCTGATAATTACATAGTAAGGAGGCAACATCCTTTCAAAACTGAATATTTAGTTCATTTACTATAGATACAAAATGAACACATTGAACTTTATTAGGTCCTGGGACTTATATTTACTGCATTGACATCGACAAATTGGAAAAATAAATGTGGTGCTGTTTTATCCACCTAAAACCCTTTCTGATGACTTATAAATTATAATAGTAATTAATAAATAATTAAATAATAATTAATTAAAAAAAACAGGGAAAAATCTGACAAGTGTTTTTTATTTGAAAACTACAAAACAGTATGATATGAATACAATGATATACAATAAATTATAAATATTAACACAGTGCCCTGCACTGTGGTTGAGTCACAACACTGGACTGGCATCTCCCACTGAGTAAATATTAGTGTAGTGCATCAGATTCCAGTAATCAGAGCAGGTTTTGATGCATTTATGACATCTGTAGGACTTTGCCCATCTGTGGTTTTTAAGCTGATGACATAACATGTAGGCCTTTTGGTCTGTGAAATCTCCTATGCCGTTTCAGACGGGAATTATTTGAAAATTGTTTTCCACATATTCCACATTTGTTTCCCTTGGTGTGGCTTTGTAGGTGGTGGATTAAACTCTTTGTAGACTCTAAACATTTTCCACTAATTCCACAAATACAGATTTTGTCCACTGTGTGTTTGTGCATGTGTCCTTAGTGAGTAGATCTCATGGAAAGTCTTCCCACATGCTTTACAACAATGAAGACCCATGGGACTCTGAATGGCAGATAACTGTGTTGATGGCTTTAGAGTTAAACTAATGGGGTGTAAAGATCGTTTCACATGCTTTTTCTTCTTTGCATTGAGAACCTTTGAATGTGAACAAGGTGTATGATTCCTCTTCAACTCTTCTGTCTTGCTGCCACTTCCATACTCAGCAACAGCACCGCCTCCAGTGGTGTGCTGATAGTCCCAAATTGGATGCCATATTTCACCAATCCCATTATCAGTTTCCAGAGGTCGAGTTGAAGAATCAGAAAGACGATGTCCCTTGCTGCTTTCCACACCGTTGATTTCAGCGATATCTTGGATGGAACTGTCCACACAGACAACACTGAAGACTTTTGGGCATGATCATCCACAAGACTTTGTTCTCCCACTTGACTGTTACCTTGCACCAGCTCGCCTTTAATCTGTAGCTGCTCTGAATGCTGAAACTCCAGATGACTCAATAAGGATCAAGGTAAAAAATATTCAGTTGTTTGCATCACAAGCTTTTACATAGGTCGCACTAACTAATTGCAGTCAAGGTGAAGTTCAGTTTACCAGGCTCTTCCGCAAGATCTTGTCTCCCCATTTCCTCATCCTGTTCTACTTTGAATTGAAACAGCAGCGAGGTCTGTTGGTGCTCCTGATGCAGACAAGTCTACTGTAGGATCCCACCTATCCTGTTTGTATCTCTCATGTATTATCTACAGTGTTGTGATTTAACTACCCAACACATCCACCAATGTAAACGACCTCAGTAATAAGCATAACATCACAACTTCTCTAAAAGTGTACTACAGCCAGATTTACTTTTTCTTTAAAGCTAACACACCGCTTCCAGCACTTCAACTGTCTGAGCTACTTGGCTAACGTTAAAAAAAGAAAACAGAAATATAATAACATTAGGCATTTAACTGTATCTTTAGTGTTGTCAGGAAATATGTTATAACGTAACCACTTTACACCAGTGTGTGAGAACAGTTTGGACCATGTTTAGAACTAACGGTTTCAGAGGCAAAAAAAAAGAAAAGGTGACGGTCTTTAGCAGTGTTATTGCTAGCAGGAGGAGGACAAGGACTATCTAAAGTGGACAAAGATAAATTTTAGGATCCAGGGATAAAAACATTTCTTGAAGTTCTAGAAACTCAGTTTCTGTCGCTGTGAAGTGGCACAGTTATCAGGCGCTTCGTTCGGGTGCACGGACCTTCAATCTGTGATAACTTGGATTTGAGGATAATGTCCAGCAAAGAGCGATGGAGGTCTTTTTCTTCCTTCAAACGGGAAGCCTGCTCCTCGTGGTCCGATATTGTCTTTTAAATAGCACCTAATATTTCAGAGGTAAGAGCGTGCAACCGCTCGGAGACGAATACTTTGAATTCTTCGATTTGACCCATTTTCCCACTATTATTACACTGACTCCACCTTCACCCGGAACGATTTACATGGGGAACCATTGGAATGAGTCGGTCGGAATGATAAAGGAAATTTCCGTTTGTTGTTTTCAAAGTAAAAGCCCTGTGATGCGTTTCTTTTTTTTCAGTAAAGAGCACAAGTAAGGTTAAGACCATATGATACATTAGAGCAGATGAAAAACATTTCCCTCATATTTTTTTATTTAAAAATGTAATTTTGTGCTTTACAAAAAAAGATCTTGAAATATTCTAAGATTGGCAGTAAATTCACAATTGGCTGTATCAAAAAGTAAAAATAAAAAAATCATCAGATTAAGCATCTTTAACATATTTAGTACACCACTGGAATGCTGGATTTAATCTGACAATGTGGATATTGGATGGAAATATTGTGGATGTTGTTACAGGAAATGTTATGTCATTATTTGGGAGAGCCAAACTTACAGTACCATTCACCCAAAGCAGAATAGACATACGTATATATAGTACCATTTATCCAAAACAGAGGAACGATCTTATGAGCATATTACTGATCAGTTAAACCTTCTGAGAGTAATTCAAAATCTGTCCAGTTTATCCTATACCATTAAGTCCTATTAATTTTCTTTACTGAGTTTACAAAGCATTTTTTAGAATTTATCTGCAACTTGTACCAAAATAATGTACCAAAATGATGACAAAACTGTCATAGTGTACTTTAATAAAATGTCCTTAGTCTGTTTTGGCATCTTCCTGTGTGCCTGAGGCGACCTGAGAGTAGAATCTTCTGCATGACAAGGAGGAGGGCTCGCAGTTATATCCATACTGGCAGCAGTGTTTACCATCTGAACAACACTGGCCCTGAAATCAGTACAAATCTTGGTGTTAGAACAAAATACTGACAAGGTAATTACGCGTTATGTACATTTCATAAGACAGACATATAAATCTGTCAGTTGCGTCAGTTTGAGATCTTTATAGTTTTTTGGACTGACACCACGCTATAAAGATCACACAATAAAAGATGCTGATGATTTGATGTTTCTGTGCTTTAAACACTCTGTATTCCCATTTCCCTGAACACTTTCACCAAACTATTGAACTTCAAATCGCTTGCCATTGTTTTATTGTTGTCTTTGATATTTGATAACCTATCTCTCGCCAAATCGAAAATTATTTAACAGTTGCACAAATGCACAATCCATACCAGCGGGTAGGGGCAGCAGTTCCACTGGCCTGTGGGTCCCTTGCAGCAAGTTGTTCCTCCTGAGCAGTAAAACTTTGAATCACAGCGAATGACTCCAGCCTTGGGGGCACTGCCACTGGCCTCTGTGAGAGCTGTCATAGGTCTCTGTAAATAAAATACAAACTGACTATTATATTCTATTATCTAAACATTTAATCATAAATATTTATGATTAGTACCAAAAAAGTTATACCTGCATTGACAGATTTCTTTGGCCACTAAGGGGCAGCAGTAACAAGCTATAAACACAACACTGAAATATCATCTCTTGTGTTCATATGGTTAACTTGTTAGCAAACAGGCAATAACAGGAGTAAGAGTAGCAGTCATTTCGTGTGTTTCTGGCCTGTTTCTGTTTTGTACTCCACTCCACTCCTGAGGGATATGTCTGTTTCATTAGTTATATAAAAACATTTCAATGTTATTTATTATGAGTTAAACCCTCAAAAATTAAACTAATTCTGATTGGTGCATAGGTGTGTGTGTGTGTGTGTGTGTGTGTGTGTGTGTGTGTGTGTGTGTGTGTGTGTGTGTGTGTGTGTGTGTGTCTTTTTCCAACTGAGACCCCTGCGCAAAAAATCAAAGACAAAACTCAAAGTGAAGAAACATCTCATGTGAAATAACCACAAGTGTCCAGAATATGTCAGAAAATTGTGTGTTCATGCAGGACGCCAGTGTATGAAGTGTGATATTGTCCTACCTCCTGAAAGCTGGCTTTGTCTTCGGAAGGTGAAATGAGAGAGGCAGGGACTGATGACGGAGCTTGTTTGGGGGTGAAAGGATATCTCAGGCTTTCCCTCACACAGTGCGTATAAGTGAGGTCACAGTCGTAGCCGTATGGACAACAGTGATAGCCATCCAGGCAGCACTGGCCCTACAAGCCACACAATTTATGCAGAAATCAATAAAAAAAATTAGCACCAATACTCCTCAAAGCAATGTCTGTTTTGAAATTTAAATACTTTGACAACAATTCAAAAATTGTTTTGCAAGCTTTGACTTAATGTCATGTCTGTATTTCATTACAGTCCTTTGTCTTACTACAGAAGAGTATGTAGGTCAACTCACAGGAGAGTATCCACAACAGAACCAGGCGCCTTTTGGGTGTCTGCAGCAGGTAGTGCCACTGGGACAAGTGTAATAGTTGTCACAGTGGACAACTGAAACCTTTTTTTGGTCTGGGACATGATTGCTCTTGATCTCCATGAGGGGAGATACAGGTATAACAGGAGGGTTTGATTCTTCTGCAGCCTCCTTCTTCGCCATGGGTGTGTTCATCCACGGCTGGTTTTCTTTCTCACACATCTGGGTGACCATGTTACAACGAAACCCTGAAGGGCAGCAGTGGGCCAGGTCAGAGCAGCACACAGCCTGGACACACACATGAACACAGACAGGCAGGGAATTAGTAAGAATTACTGGAAACAGTTTTCGAGACCAAAATGTCAGTCTTATCAACTACATATCACGTTACATTACGCGTGGATTTATCGGTCTTACTTTTGGATATGGACAGCAGCTATATCCATACTTAGTCATACAGCAGGTGGAGTCATCAGAGCAGACATGCCCGTCAGGGCAGATGATAGAGGAGGACGCAAAGTCCCACGCAAACACCCCCATTAACAGCCACAGAGTGATCCTCAGCATCTGCAGAAGACAGTAATAATATGAAGTTTATTTGATTCAGATAAATGTGATGCATTACGCGCGTGGAACCCATCATGTTCACTTGTTGTTGTTGTTGTTGTAACTGTTTCATTTAAGCCTGTCCTAAAAGCTTCCTGTGCTGTGGAACAGCCTCAATGAACAGTAATAAGCAGCATTATTAAAAGACTTGTACTACAAAAGAACTTACAGACACAGATTCATTGTTTATTGCTCACCTTCAGTCAGTGGAGTGATTCAGCAGCTTGCGTTCATGCGTCTCACACTTCCTCTGAGCTGAACAAGACGCACATAAAGTTTATTTTTTTATTTCAGTTAAATATGATGCATTATGTGCAATTCCAGACAAATGTCTCCTTGAAAACTGCAGATTCTTTTCAGTTCTTAAATCAGATTTTGTGACTTCAGTGTAAATTGTTACACATCATTTTGATCATTTGTTGTTGTAACTTTCAGTTTCATTTAAGCCTGAACTGTAAGCTTCCTGTTACAGTCTCACTGAACAGTAATAAGCATTATTCTGGTGGCTCCCTTTACTACAAAAGAACTTGATGCAGATCCATTGATTTTTATCGCTTACCTTCAGCTGGTGAAGTGATTCATAAGCTTCCTGTCATGTGTCTCACCCTTCCCCTGAACTGAACAACAGACACACCACTCTTTATATGGCAGGTTAGACCCTCCCACTGGATGAAATCTGGAAGCTAAATTTGCACATATCACACCCCTGTGTCCTGTGACTATCAGATTAAGACCTTTTTTTTTCTTTACGACTATTTTTAAAGGAGGGTTTGAGTAATCATTGTATCAGGCTGCAAAACAAACAAAAAGAAAACACAGACACACACAAACAGACACACACAGGCAGACACACACACACACGTCAAAGATTAAACATGAAGGTGTTTACAAGCGCACATTAACCTTTGGTATCATTATACTGCTTCAATCACAAGACCTGCCTGTAAAGCCTCATTCAAAAACATTCATGCTGCATGGAGTGGAATTTTATTTTGAAAGCAATATGTAGGCTGATGTTTTTCCAAAATTAATTTTAAAATGAATTAAAAATGACAAAAGGCAAGTTTAAGACATTGACTTTGTTTGTAGTTGCATTGTAACAGTGGCAGTATGTAGCTATGTGCATTAATTATAGTACTGTACGAGTTACTTCCTTTGAGTTTTCCATTTTCTGCTACTCTCTACTCTTGAACTATATAGGTTATAACTTATCATTCACATACAAATTATTTGCTTAGTTTATAATATTGCTGCAGATTGCAGTACTCAACCCTATATAAAGTAGATAAAATTGGCTCCACCTCAACTAGATACATTAAGTGCTGCTTACATGTTGATGTATAAGTAATAATAATAATCCAATAATATATACCAATCTGAAAATGGCCATTCTGTGTAATGAGTGCCTTTACTCTTTGATACTCTATATTTCAATATTTTAGTGCCTAAAGTTTTAAACACAAGACTTTTACTTGCAAAAGAGCATGTTTTTGCATGTAGTACACTGGATTTTACTTAAGGACCTGAGTTCTTTTTTTCCACCACTTAATAGATGAAATTCTTTTTTCTTTTTTTTTTTAAATAAAGTAAATTACTTCACTAACCACAAGAGATAGGTAATATCACACTGGCAGGTTGGTTAAATGCTGGTTAATATTATTTAAACAAAGCAACTTGGTCTATGAACCTCTCCTAGAGATAAAGCCACAAAAACACAGCTTTCACATTATTACTTGGTCTTATAAGATTATTTTAGTGTGATGTGCTGCAGTTTAAATGTAGATTGTATAGACAAACTGAAAACAAAATGGAAGTGAGGTTTACCACATACCCATAGCACTGCTGACCTCAGTTTTAGTTTTAAGGAATAAAGAGAACAGAGCTAGATTTGATATAAAAAAGTGTGCAAACAGTAAAAGCAAATAAGAGTTGGTGAATGTGTGGTTTACACACACACACACACACACACACACACACACGTCTCACAATAAAGGTTGTACCAAGTAACAGCAATAAAGGCTAAAACAATACTTTATTAATGAATTCCCATTGTTTATACATTTACACTGCAGTGTAACAATTGATCTAACTGAACAATCATCCCTTGTATAAATCTTGACGGTGCAGCGCACATTTCTTATCACAAGTCCAACTTCAATATGAGGCTGGTGAGACATCAGGTGATCGGGTCTACATGCATGACACGGGCACTAGCATATTAGCCTCATCTAGCAACTAGAAACGCAAGATGTCAGGTAGGAAGCAGAGGGAGCAACTCCTAGCGGGCCAGCATACTGAAGGCAAACACGAAGTGCCAGTCTCACAGAAATGTCCATGAAGAGAAAAAAGAAAGATGTGGAATTCACTTCAGTCCTGTCGTTGGCTGTAACTCAAAGAACAACCCTCTACCAAAAGCGTGGTGATAAAAGTCAACAAAAGATATGTACCGGTAGTTGCCACTTAAGAGGGATGGGTGCCTCCCTCGTTTTCACCCCAGCATTCGAGTTTGTAGGTCTCCTCGATCAAGTGTGATGACCGAAGCTGGATGGGAGAAGTTTTTGGTGTTCAAAGGCAAAAAAAATAACACTACTAGTGAACTGCCAGGAGGCCGAGAGAACCGTAAAGCTACGGTTGTTAGTCGAGCTCTGAGTCAGACTGAGATGCTGCCTTCTTTTTCTTTTTCCTGCCGTGTTTCTTGTGCTTCTTTTTCCTCTTCTTCTTGGATTTGTCCTAAGAACATAAAGCAATCTACATTTAGGAACTGGTGTGTCTTTTGATTAGCATGAAGCTGATCAAAGATACTGGTTTATTTTGGGGGGGGGTGTGGCTATGCAGTCAAGTTTCATACTAGTCAATTTCTGGCAGAGTAGACACATATTGCTGCCCCACCCCAACAGCTAAGAGTACATGGTTTATTTTGAAAGGAACTATGGGATTCTATTATAAAGATGCACTTTATGTACACCTAAGACATTTTAACCCAATAAAATCTTACCTACTATAAATTCTTATATCACAGATATTAGTCTTTACTGTAATCATCTGACAGAAATCAGCATCTATGGCTGTTCTAGATGAAATCCAAAAACTTGTTTGTGCTGTGCAACTTCAAAAAGGAAGTTAAGTAAATTGCTCACTGTGATTTTCTCCTTCTCCTCGCTACTTCTCTTTTTCTTCTTGGCTTCACCCTGTTGGTGGGAAAGGTTGAAATGAGACCATGGAAAGAGGGAAGTCTTGAGCTATACAAAATTCTCAAAATCCCATTTCTTGTGACATTGTTTCACAATAGTGGCATTTCTACAAGCATCTGCAACAGCAAAGGCTGAACTGATCAACAGATTTCTACACCTGACCAAACTCATAAGGTAATTTGTTTCTGCACCAAACTGTTTTCTTCTAAATTGTTGAGCTAAAGTGGTTAATGTGTCCAATTTATGCTAAGTTGTTGTGACAACCACTGCCCTTTCAAAAACATCAGCAATCTGTTTTTCCACAATGAAATATTTACAGCGAACATTTTCAGTTCTTGGGAAACATGAGATCATGGCAGACATGCTTTGAAAGCTATGTAAATCAATTAGGTGGCTTGGCATGGCCACCTTCATATAAGGTGAAGGCTACATTTTTATATGGTGGTGGTTCATAATATAATATTATTTTCCTTACTTATCGCTAACTCGCTCTCCCTCATTCACCCATGGTGCTGCATGCAGAGTTAAAGAGGACGAGTCGATCTGAATTGGTGAACTTGAAGTCATGACCACATCTTCATATAGGCTGACCATGTGTCACACACCAACAGTCTTTGGTAAACAGGAGTTTGCATCAGAGATGGAAACTTAATAAAATGATAATGTCATTTGAATATAATCTAACCGACTCTCCCCAAGGACTCCCTACAGAACATCTGGATGTGTGAGAAAGTGAGTAAGAGTATGGGAGGAAATGTGGTTTATATAGAAGTATACTCTTGTAACAGTGACAAACACAGATTAATCTGTAACCACAGTCTCATTTAAATAGGGCCAATAAAAAATGTTGCTGTATGCTCACCATAAATATGCTTGATCGGCCAAAGGGCTAAAATGATCAACGATAATGTTTGTCTCGATTTAAAACCAAAACGACTAAAATATCAAGTGTCTTGTTGACTAAAACTAGATGGAAAACTCTGACTAAATATTTGAAGGATGCAGGCAAGTAAATCTGATAAAGACACTGTGTGTGGTACTTAAGATTCATTCCCCTGAAATTTGAATTCAAAGAGGAACAAAGAGGTAAAAGAGGAACAAAGAGGGAAAAAGCAGTTGCTAGCATAACAGATTGTGGAGGGGATTTTATATTTACTGATTTATTCATGGCAAGTGAAACATCTGGCATACTTGTAATAAATAAACATTTGTGGCATAACAGAGGCAGTTAGTAAAAGAAATTCTGTGTTAAAGGTTTCCATATTTTTTTGGGGCAAAAATGGTCCAATCAGCTGTTTATTTCCCCTCCCACATGTGAACAATACTTACTACCTCTTCCCCCTCAGAGTCTACAGAGGACTCTGAAGAGGAGTCTTTATAACTTCGCTCAGCCTTCCTTTTTCTTCTGCGGCTCTTGTCATCCTGAGAGACACAGGATTTGCAGAGAAGGGAGAAATACAATAACTTTATATTTCAAAGCCGCACATATCTGTGGAAATAAACATGAGTTCAGCTAAATGATTACCATCAAAAAGTGAGTTACCAACGCGTGCAAACTACCTTATCTTTGTCCGCTTCTTCCTTGATTCTTTTCTTTTTCTTCTTGGGGAAAAAAAACAACATTTAGACTAAATGCTTTCATTGACTGCTTAACTGCACATTTTTACTACTAGCAACCATTTCTACTCAAGTGTACTCAAACAAGGGAAGCCAATTGTGCTGTTAAAAAAAAAAAGAAGAAAAACCTTGCTTTCAGCATCTGACTCTTCCTCTGAGCTGTCCGATGCTCTCCTGGCGGATGACTTCTTTCTCTTCCGTTTTTTCTTCACACTCTTCTTGTCATCCTGTAGAGACAAACAGAAATGTAATCAAACAGCGTAGTGCTGCATTGTGTGTGAAACAATCTTGTGAAGCCACTTCACAGGATTTCTAGGAAATCAGAGCAGCCTTTTTAAAATTGATCGGTTTGAGCTGTATAAAGTCCATTTTGTTTCTGATCATTTAACGTGAACCCATTTACTCCAGATATGCCAGCTATCACAAACACCCCACTGCTCTTCATTAAAACACTAGGAACTATTCCTGGAATGAACCTACAACAGAGAAGCTGACAGATAAATCAATCAGTGTAGTGTGCCATCAAGCAGAGCAGCTTTTTGTCTTCATTTCAGGAGGACCGTGCCTCTTAATCACAGCTGTTGGATTCTAACTGTATGAGGATCAGTATTATGATAATGCTGGGGATGAAAAAGAGGCTCCCCAATACTATCCAAACCTTGCAACAGTTTAAGCGTGACACACCCTTCCATAGATATTACACTCAATACTTCAGGACTCTATTAAAATCCATTAAAAGAAATGGGTTTGAGAATATACAATTTGAATGATTCAATACAATTACAATACAATTTAGTTCATAGTCTTTGAGGTTTGGGGTGAGGTCTGTAAGATCGCAGTGATTTGGAAATAAACTTTGCAATCACACACCAAAATTTGGTAGGACTTACCTCATTTTCAGATTCTGAGGAGGAGCTGCTGGAGGAATCAGAACTCGATGAAGAGGAGGAAGATGAAGAATGCTTGACCAAAACACAATGAAAGCAGGGTCCATTAGACTTGAGGTTATTTGCTTGTTTTAAAGACCATCTCAGAGAGTAAGGTGTGTGTGTGTGTGTGTGTGTGTGTGTGTGTGTGTGTGTATGTGTGTGTGTGTGTGTGTGTGTGTGTTATGTCAGGGATAATGAAAAATGTGTGTGTGCGAGAGAGAGCAAGAGGGTAATGTGGCCATCAAAATACTGGAGGTCTCTCCTCACCCTGTTGGATTTCTTCTTTTCTTTCTTCTTTTTCTAAAAAACACAAATGAAAAGCCACCGTGAGTAAAGATGAGTTTTAAGAGTGAGATCGTTCAAATGTTCAGTAAAGGAGCGATAACGTACCTCCTTTTTGTCTTTCTTCTCTTCCTTTTCCTTGTCTGTTGTCTTTTTGTCTCTCTCTTTGTCCTTGTCACCTAACAACTTCTCTCGGTTTTTTGCCAGTTCTTTCTTCCATCTCTGGGGGAAAAAAAAAATAAAATAAAAAAAAAAACAGAAAGTTTTTTAAAAAAGTATTACTCTACTACTTTGCTACTTGTTCTCCATATGCAGTTATTCTTCATACTTGGATGAAAGTGTAAGTTTGTAGCATAGTTAAAAGATTGTAATAAGTGTACACATTATTTTTGACATTCATAGCTAAAATTTAAAATAATGTGAGGAAAGATGGTGAACATTAAAAAGGTCAACATGTCAAGTCTACATGCTAGAAACATACCTCGTTCATTTTATCCTCAAAGTCAGCCAGGGCTCGAGAGCCCTTCTTCTTCTTCTCTAACTGCTCCTTTAACTCTTCCCTTAAGAAAATGCAATAAATCAGCTGTAATACAGGGTGTTTAGTACAAACCGAAGACGTTCTTCTCAACACTTCTTCTCTCAACTTTCCCCCCATGCAATGTTTAAAACTGATCCACATTTTCATCAACAGGAATTTACAATAAACAGACAAAGCTCGACCCTATTCACTTCAAGAGATTTGGGTTTGGTGCTTTTAACAAAAGAAGATTCTTGTGTTTTCCATTTTTTCTATAATAGTAAAGGAATTTAATACATTTTAGTTTAACATGCTACATGACACTTTATGTCCCCTTTAATTTTAATATCTTCAAAGCACATTTGTCTTTGCATAATGTAGAGGAAACACTCATGCTAGCAGTGGACTGTAACAAATAATGAATTAAATGTGCCCCCTTGTGGCTAAATTGGATTTACTTTCATTGAGAACAGCCCAATGGTCAGAACTATATCAGATATGTTATTTTGACATTTTAAAAGTTAAGATTTGAGGTATCCTTTGCAGTGGGGAAAAGGCCATCGAGTAAAAGCACTGGAAACTGTACAAACTCAGCAACAACACTTTAACAGTTTCCTTTCTTTGAGACAACTAGAAACTCTGTGCTTGCAGAAAGCACAATTCTTTATGGACAGCGCACTTGGTAGCAGCTACAGTTTCATTATGAGACAACCAATAAACATAAATACACACAAAAGAGTTGGATAATAATGTTGGCAGTTGAATCTATATCATCTACAATCGTGTCAAGGGGGCAATGAATGAACCGACCCCTAGTTTGCACATAGCTATCAAATTCCAGAGGACCTCCCTCTCTGCTCTCCATCAAGCAGCGCTTCATCCCTGAGATGAGAGCACCCAGTCTTGGAATAATCCTGATGCTATACTAACTATACTGACCCAAAATCATTGGATACAACACTCTTAAAAAACGTGAAAAGCGTTTTTATAGTATTACACCGAATTTGAACAAGCCAATGTCACTCAAATTCCATATGCAGGATAATTGTAAAGATGCATTAAATACCTTTAAGTCCATTATGCTGTGTTAATGAGTACATGTGTTATTACATAAACACAGATTAGAAAACCATCATTAATGTATAACAGTCAGAAATTTCAGTTGGAATGCTGAAAACCATTTTGTCTGTTGTAAAAAGTATCACTTGTCCTAAAAGCGACTCTCATTTCCCCATGTAATATCTTACCCACAATATTACAGAACCCACATTCTCAACAAGTAAAACATACACCAATAAGCTGGTGTTAGTTTTACATTCTCTTTATCAGTTTATCTACCTTAGCCCTTAGATTACATCCGGAGCTATCTGTAATGAGACCCATGAACTATAAATCTGCACCCATTACCAATCAGTGCTTGAACAGGCCAACTGTGATAATAGAAAGACTAGAAAGAATGCAACAACAGGGGAATGTTGCTATGAGAAAGATGTCTGTCAGATTTGATCTTTTATTACAAAAGAACAATTATTTATGTCAGTGAATCCCAATGAGAAAGTATGTCCTTTACTCACCATGTTGGCCGAGGTCTGCTTAAATAATCCTGTATGGTTGGACCAGAGTTCTGTACAGGCCCCCTGGCCCGTGCTGCAGCAATTGGGTTAATGTAAGCCTGACACACCAAACAGAAGAAGGATTTTACACACCACTAATGGAGGTGGTTGAAATAAACACTTTTTTATTGCTCTTTGGTGTCTTCTGTTTACTCTTGGTGGGTGCCCATAGATGTTAATGGGTGTAGCTTAGTGTATATCTATACAAGAGTATATCTAGATACTAAGATTAAATAGTATAATGTGATACAGTTCTACAGCACCACATACATATTCAGTATAAGAATATAGGTCAACAAGTCTCAAACAGTTTTAACAAAAACTGATTCTTACAAGATCACTTAATATAGGACTTGAAGCAAGGCTGCTCTATCAGTACACCAGTTTTAATTAGGTGTACCTAAACTATCAAAATGGGCGTACAAAACGTCTTCCCGGCGATGCTAGTGGCCTTATTAATAGATTAAATTATCTAAAGAATACATCGCATGAGAACCAAGGTGCAACAAGATGATCAACTTGGCAAACGCTAATGTTAACAATATACCTTGACCCAAATGAAGCCAAACGACAGGGTAATATTGGTTTACCTTGTTGTTTGGCACTTCAATTTTAGTATACTGATAGTGTTTAGGGCTGTATGTAGCCCTAAAAGCATGGACAAACACTGCACAACATGACCACGTCAAAACATTGCCTAAAATACTGTATGCTAAAGTTAGCATTAGCTGCTCGCGCTCCTGCAGTAGTGCTATTGAGCCTATGGCTCGACCTTTTACATTAGCTATAATGCACCAAGCAGTTAAGACCTACACAATAATGCATAAATAATCAGAAAACATTTAGTTGCATTTCCGAAGGAGATGTGCTAACGCGCGGCTTAAATGACTACTGTCTAGGCCTGGTATCAGAATACCTGGCGGAGGTATACATTAGCTAGCCAAGGCTAGCTGCTGCGCTAACGCTGTTTGTGTTTAGCCTAGCTCGCTTACCAAATGTAACCGCGTATCAACAATTCCAATCCAAATTTTAAACTGTTAGTGTCACACAACTCACCACTCGATTGTCTCTTTTGCCCATATCGAGTTAATAATGAGGAGAAATGTCCAACAGGGAGAACAACCATTAGTGTTACCTTGCTAACATTGACCTAGCCACATCAGGCTGAGTTAATGGAAGCTCTACTTCTCTGCTGCCTCTTCTTATTCGTCTTTGAGGTTCTGCGGCAGCTAGCATCCCGACTGTTGCATTACTGCCATCGTTCTTTTGGTCGTCTACTTCCTTTGATTTTTACGGCGGGTTGCAACCAATACTCATGCATACCGCCATCTACTGTACTGGAGTAAGTAGTATGAGGTATTGTCCCTGACCTATTTCACATCATTTGGTAAATAAATAATCTTACATGATAGTTTTATAAAACAAAATCTCACTAAATTGTATAGTATATGCTATTTCACAACAGCTTTCTGTGTATCCTCTACCTTACCTCCTTACCCATCTTTTGAGTTAGTCTTCTACCTTCAATGTGCAGTTCTCTAATTCCTTTTCAGCAGCCCAGTCTCTTGAGTGCATTTATTGGCACACAGTGGAGCCTTTCCATATTGTGGCTCACAAGCCAGCTTGTTTATAGTGGAACAGACTAACCATAATCACCATTAAACACAAATTAAATGATATAAAAAATATTCGCCCTTTTAAAAAATGTGTTTTTGTGCTAGTATGAAATAGAAGCAGAAGACTGTGGCAAAATGCAAGTGTTAAGTTCACTCATTCCAAAAACAAATTCACTCATTAATTAATCACACAAACAAATGAGCCCAAAACAACATTCATAAAAAGCTGCTTTTTATTCAGCTGGTGCAACACAATAATAAGACACCAATGCCTGCATTCATACATAAGTATAACGCCATGATTGTGGTGTTCCTCGTCTCCATTTAATATGTTAAAAACAAATGTGACACAGGAACATATGTGTAATCTAAGTTTATATGATGGATCAAGCTGCGTTGGTTTCAACAGTGAAAGCTCTCAAAGCTCAACAGTGGACTTCAGTTTTATGATACAAGACGTATTAGATGAAACGTATTAGAAACTGATTAATTCATAAGAAAAGCTTACAGTGATTGTATCAAGTGTAATTAGACTAAAGCAGTCATTATTTTAATTGTAAACCTCTATGCCTAAAGTATTTGGAGCTTTCATTGCATTGTATGCACCACTGACACCAGATGAGTCTTTATCAAATAGAAAATTCACACAGTGCTTAGTTCAAGCAGACAATACATGGATCTAAATCGTGTTCGCCATCTAACAATTAAAGGTTGCTGGCAAAAACAGTTCATACAGGCAGTTATCTTCAGACAGTAATGACTACAGTAACATATAGGTGATAAACAGGAATGACAGTAGACTATGATCAATGGCATGATCGTGGAACAGCTTGAAAGAAAAACCTGAAGGAGATGTGATGTGGTCAGTTAGTAGCCCAAGGATGTGCAAACTGTGCCCAAAAGATTCGGACGCCCATAACAAGAACCTGAGAAAGTTAGAGAGTGTGTCTGTGTGTGTGCTAGCAGCACTACCTGTTAAGAAAACGTAAACCAGTGTTAAAATGTTACTGTTCTGCAAGAACTACTACATACAAAAATACAACTCTGCATAACTTGCTTTTTTTTCCTTGCTTGTAAAAACTGAACTGTAAAATAAAGCAAAAACTGTACACAAAATATTTGTGCATTATTTTCATGATAAAAATCCTGTAAAGTTCGTAGTCACTCTCAATCCAAAGTAGATGAAATTCAACAAGCACCCACAGAAGCCACCCAACATTTTCAATAGACAAAAATATTCTTGCCATACAACATTCCACTGACCCTCGCTACTCTACGTCTATCCATTTTTACGACATATCTATGGGCTGACGATGCACGTATCAAAAGTTTTCTATCATTACAGCTTGTACTTAGCACTACATACTGTACAGTACCAATGCCTATCCTTTATACATTCCTTACACTGTCAAACTATTCTTACACAAATTCTATTATCATCTAGAGTTGGTGTAATTGGTGTAAGAATATTATATGCCCCAGCATCTTTAAAAAAATATCAAGAAACAACTTGATGAAAACAAGCATATAAGACTTGTCAATAAAATTAAAATTAAATACAGAATATTGGCGGCAATACTATGCCAAATGTTTTCATGTTGAGTAGTGCTGGTGGGACTTTCTCCACCTATTGCAAGCCTGTGCATTGCTGTATCATTCGAATAGTAAATAATAATTGTATTTCATAATGATAAAAGCCCATGATGGCAGACTAAAAGCAACTCAGACCAAATGAGTGGCAGGAACTTTTCTATAAGGTTCTTTCATCATTGTCTCAGCACCGATATCAGCCCATTATGATGAGTCCCTTGAAGAGCGCAGAAACCATTAGAATCCCGCTACTGGTCTGCAGTTACTCAGGACATCCTCAAGGTGGCAGTGATATAATACATACATAATTGGAATGATAAGTCACGACATGGCAGTGAGTGGTTGGCTTGTGATGCCCAATAATGTTTCAATAGGTAGGTGTGTACATGAGTGTGCTTATGTCAGTGGTCGTGCACACACCAAATGTTGTGTACATGTCTGCTCGCAGCACACACCCACAATTAAGCATAAACGCAGGTGAGATCCACGCTGTCCACACAGGCTCCTGTATGGTCTGGTCCCCCAGGTGAAGAGGACTCTTGCAAAGCTGAACACTGGTCATAAAGAGGGCCTCTGCTTCATGGCCACTACAGGCCTCCCATCCACCACTACCAGTCAGTCTGAGATGCAAGTCTCTTTGCATTGTTAACACAGTCGATCATCAACATTTAACAACCTAAAAGCAGCAATTACAATCCATCATTTCATGGAAGGAGGATAGCTTTGTGCATTGTTCAGGGGGTGAGAGCGTTGGTGTCATCTTTCGTGACACTATCGTTACCCTCTTTTTTCTGAGTACTTTCCCAGAGCGTTGTACATTGACTATAAAAAGTATTTGCACCCTTGGTCTTTTTCATGTTTTGCTTTTGAGTTTATATACAACATGGAATCACAGTTGATTAAGCTTTTTTGACACTGATTATCAGAAAAAAAGTCTCCTTAATGTCAAACAGAAAACAGGTCTCTACGAATGGATTTCCCCCCTCTTAACTACAACATAATTTATCACTAGTGCAGCCAGAAGTTGAATAATAGGCAGTGATGGTGATCCCCTGTGTGTAATCAAGATGTGATTTTTAGTTGAATGCAGCTCCTGCGGGGCCCAGCAGTCGACATCAACTACACTATGAAAACAGAAACACCAAACCAATCTATAACAGGGTTATCAAAAAGGACAAATCAGTGGAAGGATACCAGTAAACCGGGAAGGAAGCGAGTAGGGAGCATAGTAAAGTCAGTCCTTTACAACAACAATATGGTACAAGAATTTCAGGCAGAACTTAAAGCTGCTGTTCAGTCACGCTCGCCATGCACCTTGACAAATCTAAAGCCCTTTTACAAACAATAAAAATGGCTCTATTCAAATGTGTAGCACCGAAACAAATCAAACCACCTACACTTGCTGTAAGTGTTGCCAAAGGCACCTCTACTAAATACCGACATGAGAGGGTGAAAGCTTTTGAAATCATTATTTTGTGTTCTATATTTGTACTTAAATTTAATCAATTTCTACAGATTAGTTTTCATTTTGACATTTAAGATTTATCTGTTGATCAGTGTCAAAAAATGTTAATTAACACACATTGATTTACCGCTGTAAAAACAATAAAACATGAAGCAGACTGTGAAGCAATGAGCTGAATGCTTTTTATAGACACTGTAAGGGATTATTAGGGGTGAAGGAGGACTGTCAAGCAGTCCTCTCCTCCATAGTGGGCTTGTTGCTGGGGATGGGCTGGGCTGCATACACACTTCTACTGTGGCTGTCCACACTTTGAAAATAGGGGTGACTCAGCGCAGCGAAGGCCGATATCCTCCTGGAGGGGTTGAAGGCGAGGAATTGCTGCAGAGAAGAAAGAGATAGCAAAGCATAAATAACCCAAAGAGAAGAACCAGCATAATGATTTAATGGATGTATGGTTTTATATCAAGACTTTTTGAGCAACACTGAGGAGAGCTATCCACCATTAAGAGGGCCCGTCCTTGCTCGTCCATGTCCGGAACCAAGTCTTCTATTGGCTTAGGGGGCCGCGGGGTGAAGGCACTCTGTGGTAGGGCCACCTCCTGGGGCCAGTCCTCTGCTGAAGGCACCCCAACGACACTGTGGGATGATAATGGTCATCAGTGCCACTCCAATTCAGATCTTTGCTAAAACTGTCAAAAGGTTTGTGAAGCAACTGACAGTTTTCCTGCGTGCCTGTTGGGAAGCTTTGGAGGGATGCAAAATGGTGCTAATAATATTCACCCTAGCACAGTAGTATAACTTCTTCTTTGTTGTGTGCACACCCAGTCTTATATTTAGGCCAAATACAGCATTATAGATTCAGTTAAGGAAAAATGAAAAGTATCCACACACTTTTAGTTACAGAAAATTTTAGTGGACTGACTTTTGAGTGATTTTTATGAACAGTACAATAAAGTTTTGGGAAGCTTAAATCCAGGTTGGGCATTCACACTCAGGAAACAAACAAGACCTCAAAAGCTACAACAGGAAACAGAGCTAATAATACTTACTCAAAAATCTTTCCCAGCTGATCAACATCTGAGTTTCCTCGAAATAGTGGTCTAGAAAAGAGAAAATTTACACAAGTCAATGTCTATAAACAGTATATTGTGCTGTAAAAACTCTTACTGAATAAAGGGTAAAATGCATTTTGGTTAAAAGTGCAAAGCATAAATTCTAATATGGGTGTTAATGCTCACTATCCCACGGTCCACTGTGGACGAACAGCCTTAAAGATATAAGCTTTTGGCTCAAGGCAAAGAGGAATGTGTGACTCTGATGTGAACGTTTGAAGTGGCCACACACTCACAGCTCCATCTCATGTAGTCAGGATTGTGAAGCAGTGTTGGTAGTACCACTGAAGAGGGGAAGGAGGGAGGGATGAAAGGAGGGAGGAGAGCGACAGCAGGACTGCTGGTGGTTCCTGTGGCTTTGGGCCGTCTTTGGATGCCCGTGGGCGGCCATGCCTGCGCTGGCACCCGCACAAATTCCAGTAGTCATCATCAGCACAAGCCTGCCGGCCGCCGCACGGGACAGAAAAAGCCTATTTATCCCTCGTGTGTGTGTGTGTGTGTGTGTGTGTGTGTGTGTGTGTGTGTGTGTGTGTGTCTGCTTTTGCTTTCTCTCTGTGAATGTGTGTAGGAAAGTGGGAGGGAGAGGCGTGTGAAAGAAGTTGGATTATTCTAACAGAGAAAAGGTATGGGAACTAGACCTTCCTGCTGAAGTTCCTCAGAGAAAATGAGGAGGTGGTGTTGTCAAAGAGGAGACTTTCTTTGAACACTAAAGGTGCCATGACATTTAGGCTAAATAACAAAACTTTTTCAAGTAATTTTCCCAATATGCTAACTAAGGACAGTATGAAATGCACTGAGGTCTAGAAGGAGACAGAAAAGTCTTAAGCTTTCTCTTTGTTATATTCTATTTGTTTGAGATGATCAGCCACCAGCAGATGTCAATGTAATGCAGGATACTGACACATAGGTGTGCTTGTACGCCTGTGTATATGCATTCTGTATCCAGGCCTCAGTACAGTTCAAGTGCACCCCACTTAACTGGAGTCAACACAGACTGGCTAGCCACCATGTGTTCCCTGTGTTTTGCCACTTGCAGGAAGCTTTGCATAGCTGAACACCCACACTTTCCTACAGACTCAGGCACCGGGATATTAGTCACACAGGGGTAATTTTGCACATTTTTACAGTGACAGCAAACTCTCTATCACATGCTTCAGTTCGGAAGGGGAATTGTAATACAGAGTTTGTTTCGCTTATTCAGAAATAGTATCCATGACTAATGGATGTCCCAGTGTTTTATTTCTTTTTACTCTTGCACCACTGCTTTAAACGTCTGACATTTAAACAGGACCACACCACATATGCAGGTCTTTTGGGGTAAAGCACTGTGCTGAGGTTTGAAAGCCATTTAAGATCAGACCAAACCAGTTCTGAGTGTTGCAAAGGAAGAAAAAAAAAATTCACCTACAGCAAAGTCATCATGCCAAAACAAGTAGGGCTGATAATTCCAAGAGGTCCATTTTTAAACCTGGAGTGGTTTGTTGGTTTGCTGGAGGGGGATAACTGGATTCACATAGAGCTGGCCACTGGCATGCACACACAATCAACAGTTGAGTGCAAACGCACACACACGCACGCGCACACACGCGCACACACACACACACACACACACACACACAGGCGTACAAATGCACACACAGGCGTACAAATGCACACACGTGTGCACAAAGGGGATTGTTTCCCACTCAGAGATTTGCACGTGCACATACGTGTGTGTGTACATATGCACAAACATGCACAGACGGATGGCAGCGAAAGGAGGACTGAGACTGGGTTGGGATAGGCAGCTGAGTCACGCTTCCTTTAGTGCCAGCACGGCTCTGTCCCACATTCCACTGAGACAACCTCTGGAATGTTTGTGTGTGTGTGTGTGTGTGTGTGTGCGCATGTTTGCACGTGAGAGCGTCAATCTGTTGGGGTGGGAAATGGACAGAGAGAAAGAAATAGAGTGTGTGTTTGAGTGTGGTTTCTTCATGTGTTTAAACCTGAGTCAGTGTGAACTGGGTGGACATGTAAGTCTGTGCTGAGTTTAGATGTATTGCAAAAATGAACGTAAGTGTACGCAACACACGTGCACGCAACTGTGCGTTGTTGTGGATTTATCAATTGAGCGCCAAACTGTGAGAAAGTCAACAAGGATGTGGGGCTTTTCCCGGACCATTAACACAAGACGTTCAGCTTTTTTGATTGGGGGAATGTCAACAAGCAGGCGCTCTCTCTCCCCCATTCACTCAAATCATGACTCACCCCAACACTATCCCAGTCATGCAGATGCAGACTTGTATGATATTTGCTCAGATTCCTTTGACAACAAGCTCCCAACTATTCTCATTACAGTACATAGTCATTAAAAGAGTTTTTTTTTTTTACAATGGCATGTTTGACGATGAAAGTGGAGAAGAAGGTGCTTGGGGGGGAAAACCTTTGAAGTTTCGTGAGTCATAAGAACATTTTTTTGAGGTTAGATGTGTACTTTTCTGACCTGCAACATCAGGTGATAAGAGTGAACTGAGGCTGTCACTGGCTGGTGGGGCTCCGGCATGGGGCTGAAACTTACACTCCCTTAACACTTACTAGCTGTGAAAAAATATTTAACATCTACAGATTGCTTATTTTGTCTGGCCAGCTTTCCAAAATCAAGGGCTAATCCATTTAAAATAATTTAAACTAAAGCAGCAAGTACTCTCATCTAAGAAGGAACACACATATGTTGGACTATTTATGAATTATCAAAATTATTAGCAATTAATTTTCTGCCGATAGATGATTCGACTAATTGTTCAGATGAGATTTCTAAGATGAAGTAGTCATTCATTTCCAGAAAAGGAAGTCACTGTAGGTACCACTTATTCTGAAAGGCAATTAAACCACCAGTGAGCTCTTATCTGGTTTGTTGTATTTGAGCTGTCAACAATTATAATCTCCACTTCAACAAAACTGCAAACCAATAAACAGCGTTTTCCCATCTTCTCTTGTTCTGCACTCTCCCTCGATCACCCTTTCTTGTGCTTTCTTTCACTGCTTCGCCCAGGTGCCCTTTAATCTCTAGCAGGTGGCCTTTTAAAAAGCCATCTTAATCACCTGCAGAGAGAGAGAGAGAGAGAGAGAGAGAGAGAGAGAGAGAGAGAGAGAGAGAGAGAGAGAGAGAGGGAGTGTGTTCTCTTTATGGCCATATCTGCCTTGTTTCCACCTTAAGGCAAGGTTGGACAGGTGCCAGACTGACACATATACACACACCAAAGCTTTTTACAGCTTATTGTGCCAGGGTGAGAGAAGAGGTACCCTAACCCAGACAACAGACAAACACACGCACGACACTTGGAAACACAAACAGACGCACACGCACGAAGACACACACACACACACACACACACACACACACACACACACGCGCACACACACACACACACACAACTATCAGGAAAGTGCAGCAGATTCAGATTGTGCCTGCTCTTAAAGGGACACTACCTAAAAGAAGGACAGAGCTCCTCTTCACTCATTACAAACATGTCACTGTTGGTTTATGTCAGTTCCTTATTATCACTAAGATTTTCACTTTAAGTGACACCAATTCTGTTTAAACATTAGAAAAGGTAACACAGCCATGAAATACACTTTGTATCAGTTAACATATGTTGTGTGAGGTCTGAATAGCATTATGTGTGAAAATGTACCCAACTGCCACTGACCTCAAGACTTCACTGAAGTATTATGTGCAAACGTGACTGTAAATACATTAACTAGCAGCCTATACTCCAACTTTACCTGTTCTTTAAACACATGAGGGTCAGACTCGCAACTGCAAATCTAAATTAAACTGATTTTTTCAGCATATAAAACAAATCAAATATATCTTTTCAAACCTAGCTCCATAAACATCCATGGCAAAAGTTGGAATGTTGTCTCAGGCTTAAATCATATCCTGGCGTCTTTAAATCCATGGCTGGGCTGATAAACTAATGATTATTGTCATTATTAGTTAACCTGCTTATTATTTTACTGATTAAGGGTTGTGTGTATAAAATGTCAGAATACAATGGAAAATGCCAATCACAGTTTCTTGAGGCCACAAAATTACTTGTTTTGTTCAGCCAACAGTTGATGTTCACAACTGAGAAGCTGGAGTCAGACAGTGACATAAACAACTGAAATATTATCTAAATCGTTACCAATTCATTGTTTGTCGATCAACCAATTCATTAATCAAGTAACTCTCTCAATCCAATCCAAAGAAACAGATTTAAAAAATGGTATATAGGAGTATTAGGCAATGGGCAACAAAGACTGAGTGAAACCATCTGTAATACTCTGTAATGACACTCTGACACCACTTTATCATCAAATTCTTATTGACCTACGTGGGAGATACCATAATGTCAAACACCGCGTGTGGTAAATGAGAGCTCAAGTGTTTTCTTTACATAACTGAGTCACATATAACAGTAATGAATTATCAAAGATCTTGTTCTCAAAGTAAGAAACTAATCTCATAAAAAGTAGCCCCTGTCTCTCAACCTCCCTTCTGTTGGCCCATCTTAATGTATTGTATTTGAAAACACTTCAAGTATAGATCTCCTCTGAAATATGCTTATGTGTCACTATTTTTACAGCAGACTGTTTCATATGGCCCAACACTACTTTAAAAGGAGAGAGTGGGGAAGAACACAACAACATCAGATAGTTTCCAGTGGAACATGTTTTGTCTGGATATCACACCAAACACCCCCAAGTTACCAAAGGAGTGAATGTGGAAAACATTGTGTGCAAGTTTTCTGGCTAACAACAAAAGTATTTTTTTTTTTAGTCGACAAAATAACCTTGAGACTCAAACAGAGCAGAACGGCTTAAACACACCATGGCGCCATGTCCTATAGGTGTTTAATTAGACATGTGATGGCTGCCACTGCCAAAGGATATGAAGCATATCATTTTTATCCTCATTCAGTGCCCCCCCTTCTGCCCTGTATGGAAGCATCTGCTGTCATTATATTTCACCACTCATTTATTTGTCACCCGTCTGTATACCACACAACTGCACAATCTCGTCACCCCGTGTCACCCTGTACCCAACAGAGCCTATACATGCCCACTGAGGCCCACATGCAAAGCGTGGGGCGCTGTGTGTGGCTGTGCATGTTGGGGTGTGAGGACGGTTGGGGAAGGAAGCACAATTTAGAGGCAGGGCTGCTCGTCCTGGCACTCAGCCCTACCTCAGAGAGACTGTTCTTATCTACTCCAAAGCACACCACTACAAGCTGGCTAGACACCAGTAATTTGTTGATTACAAGAAACATTTCTAAACAGACTATGGCTCATAAATATTAACATTAGTTTCAGGCTATGATGACACAATTTGTCCATATGCCCTGGAAAAGTCTTTTTTTCCTTGCATAAGCTGGCAGTTGAACTTTTTTTTTTTTTTTTTTTTTTTTTTAGAAAAATGGTCCGTTATTAGCCTGGCTCTCCAGTGTGTGAAGTTCGTTAGACCACAAACTGACAAATACCTATACCAAGAAGCAGAATCTAGACTTGCATGCTGCAACCACAGCAGAAAGTCTGTCATTACTGTAATGGTTTGATAAGCCAACCGAAATGTGATTCCTCAATGCTCACAACGCATCTGACAGGTGTCATTTGAGGAAAACGCGACAAGTAACACCCAAATAACTGATTCTGTAACGACGGCTGTGGTTTTTTTTCCGTGAAAATATAACATATAGAATATAAGCTAAGATAAAAAGTGAATGCAAAGGAATAGAAAAGTCTTCTCTGTGGAATTCTCTTGTTACCAACTTTGTCTTGGACCCCAGTTTGCATCTCAAATATGGATACCATTGAGAAGAAACACCAGGTCAATAAAATTTATCAACCACAGATCTGGGACATCTCTTCTAAATAATTTGTATCAGTATTCATGTAAACAGTAAAACCACTTCACGGAGAGACAAGATGGCAGATGGCCTTCAGTGATAATCGCTCCATATGGAGAACTAGTCACAAGGAAAAGAGCATGTGAATGTGTGTATACAGTGTGTACACATCCCTGTAAGGTCACTGATCATAATCTGTTGTTTTAACAGTAAATGTGGTAAACCCATCAGCAAAGGAGGCACACTGCCTGACTGATGACTCCATGTAATACAGCCATTTTCCACTGCATGATATCTACTCTACTCTTTTGGTTTTCCATCAGGCAAAAGCTGTGGACAGTACCTGGTACATGGTACTTTTCTTGTATCACCTCCACCGTGGTTCGAAGCTAGCTGGGGTGGTACCAAAAGATGACGTGAAGACACTGCAGACTACCGATTTGGCCAGAGAAAATCGTCACTATGTGAGATGGGACAATCTAAACAAACCCGCCATTTTGCTATACTTTTAGTATGACAACCCACAAAACTACGCCGTGGTCAATTGAGGAGGTACAGGCATCTCTCTGTTTGGTGCCCCTTCGATATCCTCCATTCTGCATGTGGGTCACGTTGAAGACGACGTCAAAATAGCTTCGAGCAACATCTTCATAGTAATGATGCTGCAGGATATGGTGTGCAGTGAGGAGAGAAGTACCTGGTCCCCAAAGTGAGTAGAGTTGAGTAGAGTACAATTCATGCACAAAGCAGAGTAAGTTCACTGTGGCTGATAAAGAGTGAGCTTGTTGAGGACATTGTGCTGATGCAGGTCAGTGAGTGTGTGAAACTGTTTCCATGTTAAAATGGTACATGCTAATCTTTTAATAAATCAGTTGTCAGTTGCGGAGGTGTAAATGTTTAGTGTGATTTCATTGTGAAAGCGGAACAGTGGGTGAATGAAGGGATAATTTGAAAATAATGATGTGTGAATAGTGGTAGCTTGGTTCCAGGCCTCTAAATCGCTGACCACATCTCCAAATTTTTCAGCCCCACCCCCCCACCCCCCCCACCCGAGTTGTAATTGGTCTGGTGGTGTGCTCACTGAGGGATGCTTCACCAGTTCCTCAGAGCTTTCTCTACGATGATCTCTCCCTTTCCCAGAAATGCACCGATAAGCCTACACAGGTGTAAAACAGTGCACCAGTGAACTTTTCAGTCTGAGAAATGACATCGACATTTCAGTCAAAACAACTCAGGTTGGCTCCGAGTTCTCTGCAGCTCTCACCTTCTCCTGAACATCTCAGCGAAGATGCAGCCGACACTCCACAGGTCCACTGGTGTAGCGTAACTGGACTGAAGCAGCACTTCTGGGGCTCTGTACCACAGTGTCACCACCTAGAACAAACACACACACACACACACACACACACAGCAGAAATCCATAAAGACGTTTATTGTCAAAATTTACATACACAGACACAAACATAAATTACTTCCAGTTTTTTCCCATGTAGTTTTACCTGCCAGCAGCGCTAGGTAAATGTCACCGTCTAGGGGGCTCATACACATGCGCACACACGCACACACGCACACACACACACACACACACACACACACACACACACACACACACACACACACACACACACACACACACACACACACACACAGAGGGTTAATGCTTCTCTGCCCCCATTTTAGGCTTACGTAAGACATGAAATCATATCTGGCAGGACATGTCTCCCTACTCCCGTTTTGGTGTACCCACATCACACAGTCTTTCCACAGCAATCCACCAGGGACAGACAATACTGTACCTACACATACAGTATACGCGCGTCTACGTGGTGTGCAACCCATTACATTAATGAACAATATACTGGATTAAACCTGGCAGATGTGATGTCTACATGAAGAGGTAATGGGGTTGACTTTAACTGATATCAACAACCCCACCCTACCACTTCTTCCTGCCAAAATAGAAAAAAACAAAACAAAAAAAAAACTACCCAACACTTCCTGTCTTGTGTCAAACAACCTTGCATCCACCTGAGGTATAATGGCAGCCATTTTGTGCCACTTCACTCTAAGCATGGTTTCCACATTTGTCCCTGTAACTCTATGGGGAGCTCTGAATGTGTGTGTGTGCGTGCGTGCGTGCGTGCGTGTGTGTGTGTGTGTGTGAGAGAATATGTGTAGCCATAGCCTGCAGGAAAGCAGCAGTATTGTTAACAGCTACAGTAGGGAAAGCCTCCAGACAAAACTCAGTGACCCCTAGTAAGAGAGTGGACTGGTTCCAGGTGCTTTCCTAAACTCCAGATTTTTCCAACAGTTTTTGGCTGCAGTCCCCCCTTCAGGCACTGCAGAGTGCTTATCGGGATCTTAGAGTCGGAGGCGAATGTTTGTAAGCAAAAAGAGAGCAGTGTCACCTAGATATCTTTATTAGCTGGCTTGGACTCACTGCAGGGGTATGAGGAAATGATACCCTGATTAGATGTTATCCACATGCTCGTATGGGTAATATGAGAGCAATGATCTTCAGAGGATGTAGATGGCCAAATATGAACTAATAAAGAGTGAAGCAGGTCCTTGCTTATGTGCTCAAGTGCCTCCTGAGCTGGAGTCAGCACACGCATAACTTTAAGGTTCAGACTTTTGGAGAGGATTTCTTTCACTAGGGGAGGTCGGATGATGTATTACATGTGTTGATCAGTGATTTTAATCCTGCCAGGAAAACACGTGATTTTTCTCCCTGTATTTCAATAAGCGCACTTGTTGGTCTTTGCCTAATTTAATTCCCGTTATGTTTTAGCTATGCTTGTGGTATGACTCTATCTATGGCAAAGTCAGCCAGGTGGTCCACCGCTTGGTTCCATACTGAAATATCTCAACAAGTATTACATTTGTTGCTAAAAAAAATTGGACAGATATTCATGATCCCCAGAGGATGAATCCTTCTGACTTTGATTATCCTCAGATTTTTCTTCCAGCGCCACAGACAGGCTGAGATTTGTGGTTCAGTGGACAACTTGTGGATGGATTGCCATGTAATTTCCCACAGACATTCACAGACTCTAGCGCCATCATCAAGCCAAAATTTCAACATGTCCAAAAACTTTGATTTATAATCAAATACCTGCAAAACTAATGACATTCCCATCAGCTTCAACTGTACTTTGTGGTTGGTGCCAAGTAACCAATGTTATTCATGTTAACATGCTAAACTAAGATGGGGCAACTGGTAAGCATTGGCGTGTTAGCTTTGTCACCATAAGCATGATTGCACACTAATGTTACCATTTAGCTTTAATCATCTAGTCAAGTTTCAGGGCAATATCTTATTACCCACCTAGGAATTCAATGCAAAAGAGGCTTTATTCATAATCGTAGCGTAAAGGGAAGTTATATATATCTGAGCAAAACCTGCAATCCGACCAAACAGTACCCCAAGCTGGAATTCTAAAGCAAGGCACAGTCAACACTGATACTGATAAGAGGAATAAAAAGTTCAGTCACATTTCTTTCTTCTAAACTGAATGACGCTATTAATAGAGCCGGGGGCTGCATTTTGCAGATGTGTGACACTTTCTCATCTCCTGCTTCCTGCTTCAGTGGAAATAGGGAGGAAGTTGAGGCTAGTTGGCTGAGATGTGTCGGCTCAGCCACGTGACCAGAAATGAGATATACACTGAGAATGAACAGACTGACTGTTAAGGTCACTGAGGATTTTTAGAACAGAGAAACCTCAAAGAAAAAACATGAATGGAAGTTGTACAGCTGCCCATATAGTCAGGTCACCAAATGTCATTGATGTTTTTTTTTTTTTTTTTTAACAATTCAACACTGCATTGCTTTCATTTTTGCAGGAATTTCTTTTTCTAACTTTCAATGATTTTAACTGCAAGTTCTCTGCAAGTGCTCCACTTAATATCTAGCCGGGGCACATCACATCTCAATTTCACCTCTACCATTCAAGACTTGGCTTTGCTAAAAGCATCAAACATTCAAATACAAGTCGTTTAAAAATGGGGATGGATGCATAAGTGACAATATGACCCAATCAGCACCTTCCTGTATCTCTTGCAGCTGCAGGCTCAAATACATGTGACTTAAGTCTACTACATGGAGTTTGTAGCCCTGCAGAGCCAAAAGTCAGGGCTCTGGTGAACCCACGCTCACATCAAGCCTTCTAGGAAGAACCACAGATCTAGAGCTCAGGGTATATCCGCCTCAGTGCAACACAGAGTTATTCGAAAACCTGGCCACAACTGCAGATTAAGGCATATATATCACACATGCATGCACTCACAGACATACCGGAAGATAGATGTGTTAAGGTTAATTGCAATCTGAAAATACACCCGACTACTTACACTGTCGCATATTGTTTTAGTAGTTTTGGTTTTGCAGTGAAGCTTCAGCAAGGTGGTCTTTCACTCCATCCTGCATTAAAAAGGAACCTGCTGTAATTGTTTCTTTTTCTGTCAGTGAATACCATGAAAAGACCAAAACCAACAATGCATTAATTCGTCTCTCAAAATTTTGACTTCATTACTCTGTAACCTCAGCCCATTTGCCCCTACTGAAGGGTGACAAATATATAATCTTTCCTAAACTTTTGGGTACAGTAGGTTATTTAGTGCATGTGGTTCGAGACTGTTTTCAGTTGCAGACTAAAATACACTGTTTACACTAGTTAGTATTTACAGTACCAGGATGATGTATGTGGCACTGACTCAACATAAGCTACTCATCATAATAAAGGAAGATGCCACAAAGTGCAATAGTGTGGCTCATGTATTACTTTTAATAAGCTATATCAGGCTTTGCCTACGCAGGCAATACTTTTTAGTATGACCAAATTGTTCTTGATTTTGGTCTTTTCAAGAGATTTGCTGAGAAAATAAAAATCACTTTACTCTTTAAACTGAATAAGTATCCAGCTATACTTTGATTTACCTAATGCCTAATATTCTCAAATCATTAACTGCCTGCCGCCTCAAATGGCTCATCTCAAACCTCAGATTTAAAGCTTCAGGGTGCTCATTTTCATTTCCAAACAAACAGTCTACTGTCAGCACTGCTTTCCACTCAGCAATCCTCCTCACCCTTTTCTTCCTACCTCCTCCCTCTCTCCTGCAATCTCTTGTTCCTTCTCTAGTCTCTTTCTCTGTCTGTTTCTCTAAGCCCCTGAGTCTGTAAAACACATATGTCTGAGACGCAGTTAAGTCTACATGTAACAGATGGAGAGCCTGTAATGTCCATGAATGCACTTTGATCATACACATAGTTTCACACTCTCCACAAATACTAAAGGCTCAAGTCTGTTATACTGAATATCTCAAAACTATTACCCAGACAAAAGAACATGCTTTGAGTCATGTCCTAAACACACAACTTAATAACCGTTTACAAGGAGATGATAACACATCGTCAGTTGTAAAAAAGAAAAAGGACATGCTCCAATTGCAATGTTGCTTTTTTCTGTCCTTTCCGTTCCTCTTCTTCCAACCACGTTTGCATTCCTTCTTCTTTGGCCTCTCTTTCTCACCCCTCTCATTCTCTGTTCTGCTTCACATATCCCTTCATTACCCTCTCCTGCTCTCCCTCCCCTGTCCAGGCTGCATGAAAACAGATACAGACTCATACACAGAGTATGTTGGACAGTCAAGACACAGAGACAGTGAGTCAGCCTTAAAACTGTGCAACAGTGTTTCGCCCTTAGGTCAGCTGCTTTGCATTTTCAATCCGTCTCTCTGCCTATCCAACACCCCCCCCCCCCACAGACACACACACATACACACACACAACCCCTCCCTCATGGTAACAGAAAAGCTGGAGGTAGTCCGATAAAGCAGAGGGAGCGAAGAGAGAGAGTTAGACTGAGAGACAGAGAGAGTGTGAGAGGCTGACTCCAGATTAAAGGACAACATTCTGGGAATTCCTTTCTGCTGAGAGCATCCTCCCCCTCACCACCACCACCACCACCACCACCATCCTCCCCACTGGTGCTCTCTCCTCCCCGCTCCGCTTTTGGGGAGGAAATGGCTTCTCCTGCCCCAGAGGACCTCCAGACCTCCTGGGCTGGACCTCCAAGCCCGTCTGACATGCAACATCCGGACCTGTGCCACCAGCGCACTGCGCATGCACAGCGGAGGAGTATGACAATGGAGTGCATGCATGTGAGCACGGGGGCGTTCGGTTTGTGTTATGTGTGAGCACTTGCACGTGACTATGAGAGCACCTGCTTTTGCCTGGACCAATGCACTTGGATGCCAAATGCTTTTGTGTTTGAGTGTCTGCAAATGTATGCAAGTTATCTGGAGCATGTGTTTGATGTTAAATGGATAATGTTTTTCCTTTTTGTAGATGTTGTAATCATTCCTATTCCTAAT